GAATATTTTATTGCGACTCCCGACTCATAGCCGTATGTAGTCAGAGATGAAGATGGGTTAAGATAACCCTTTTCATACGCTGAAGAGAGAGAGAGAGAGAGAGAGAGAGGGAGAGAGAGAAATAGTTCTGTTTTGGGAGTAGGTGAAGAAGAGCATTACCCCAGAAGATCATTTATCACAAAACCCGAAAACGATTGGACAAACCTTGACAAGATCAAAGGAATATGATTCATTGTCGATCTAGAACGAACAGAAACGACTATACATCAAAAATAATCAGCAACACCAAGGAAGATGGAATGGAATTGATTGTACTCTTTGCTTTGGGTTTAATTATTTTTATCATGCATGTTATCTCGTATAATTTAATTTGTTATATACTCATATAAAATATTCTCAGAAAGCGTTTTCGAAGAAAAAAATTATCTCCAATTGTCCATCAATTTCACATTCTTAAAATGGTTACAAACTAAGTGAATATGTTATTTTATAAAAGATCCAACGCAAATGATCGTAAAATTAGATAGATGATAGAAACGTGCTCAAGGAAAAAAAAAACATCTTAAGAATAAGTATCTTAAGAAAAAGTAAAATAAATCTTATCAGCTTCATATCTTTCTTCGCAAAAGGATCTTTATTATAATATGCGCTCAAAACATCGCCTTTAAACACACCTCGCATGAGCACAACAGGCAACCACCCGCTTAAACACACACACACACACTCACACACACGTGCATGCACTGGCGTTGCATTTTTTCGGAAGATATGCACTCATTTTTTACGACTGCCGTCGGCGTCGTCAACATCGTTGCTGCATTTTTGTATGCTTTTTTTTCTATCTCGCTCATTTAAGCGACATTTCATTCACGCACGCATATAACACATAACGGCAATCAGCCAGCCAGCCACATGGCCAACAGAAACAACTACAAGAACAACCCAATGGGCCAACTAGCAAGCGCCGGTCATTGAAATGACAAAAATATGGGAAAAATAAAAGAGAGTAGGGCGAGAGCGTCGACGACAACGAGAGCGAAAGCAACAACAACAAAAACCAACCGAAAAAAAAAATTGCCGTAAAAAATGACTGGGTTTGGTGTAGCAACAACAACAACAAAAACAACAACTGCTACAACAACAACAAGTGCACGCATTAAGCTTTTTTATTTCGTTCGTTTTTTGGGGCTAAATGGGGGAAGATGGAAGGGCAATACGAATATTGTTGACGCTGCTGTCGCTGTTGGCGTCTCTGCTGACGTTGACGTCGACGCCGGCGTCGTCATTACTCTACGCTAGTTATTACGTTCATATTTTTATGTGTGTGAGCGTGTTTTTTTTTCGGAACGGTATGTATGTACACAAGTACTTATTTATGTATGTATGTGTTGGTGGGTGTCTGTGCGGAGAATTTTTCGTAAACGAAAAATAATGAATACATACATACGTACATACATACATATATTAAATACATACTGACAACACCAGACCAAGAAACACTTTGCAGCAAGCCCCTGCTATCTGCTCGCAACCCGGTGCATTGAAAAAGTGCATAGAAAAAAGTAGCAAGAAGAAAGGCATGACGAAAAACAAAAAATGAAAATAAAAAGAAAAAAGCAAAAATAAAACGCAACGCGCAAAAAAAGCGATCGATATGATGCACTCATTTCTGTCTGGTGCGCAAAGCAGCGCAGTCGGGTTTCTGCCACTGCCACTGCCGCTGCTGCTGTTGCTGTTGCAGCTCATGTTGATGAGGCCGCTGTGGCAAAGGCGGCATTGCCACTCCAAGTCAAGCATCGAGACGGCAGCCGTTCTCTCACACACAAAAAAAAAAAATAATAATAAAATGTCGTAATAATAAACGCTCGAAAAAAGCCAAAAATTGCAGCGTCAGTAGCTTTTGTTTGAATCTCAAAGGCCCTCACTTGTATTGTGCCCCTTTCTCTAGTAATGCGGGTGTATGTGTGTATGTGTGTGTGTGTGTGTGTGTGCGTGAGGCGTCGTCAGCTGGACGCTGACACCTACTTGGCTGACAGCCTATTGAACACTTGATCGCTGCTACGACAGCCAATCCCACAAGAATTTGTGTTAACCCTTTAATGTGTATAAGTTTCCAGAACTTATTTAAATGTTCAAGATATTCTAAATTTGTTTGTTTTATAACTGTTTGAGATTTCTAAATTAATTTGAAAACTAGCATTGTATTTTCCAAAGAGGTTAGGCAACAAGGGCATTTAAAAAATCTTGAATGAAAAGAAGCGGTCAAGGCGCGTGATTGGAATAAAAGAAACTAAAGATAACTTTCAGTATAAGTGCTCAACAATTTGTATAGTTCTAAGAACAGTATGTGTATTACTAATGGTATTGGTATTTTATCATAAATATGTAAGGACGCTTAGATTAAAAAACAAAATTAGGTTTCGAATGATCTAAGTTATGATATTGACTCGGTGTCTGAGAATAATTGCCTTTAAATACCTACATATTACCATTTGTTCCTAAATAATATCCATCTCAACATTGATAACAAATTAATGTTTTCAATGATAATATATCGATAAATAATTATTTACAGAAGATTTGTATACAAGATATTTTGTGAGGAATACGACAAAATGAGATGATCTCTAAACTGGTATATTTATTTTTCTTAGATTTATAACTAATTTATTTTAAAAGTGGGAGCACGGTTTAAGAGCTAGACTCCAATCTTGAATATTAATTTTAATAATTGTATTTATATAAAATGTATGTTTGACACTGAAACACAGTACCATGTCGTTAATGGGTTAATATTGTTTCTAAGCAATGTTTAATCATTTATTAATTTAAGTATTTATATATATATTAAAATATCTTAACTTTAACCCTTTTAAGGCATCCTGCCGCATTTCCTATTGCTTTTCCGCTATACTTTATTTTAATTTTTGTTGCTCTTAGCTGCATACTCTACCTTTGTCTCTCTCTTACTTCACAGTTCATTCTCTGTCTCCATCATCGGTCGCCCATCCTCTTTGGCATTGTTTCACATTTTTCGTCGTTTTTTATTACGACAATTAAAATAGGTGTATGGCGGCTGCGAACAAACACTTAGCCATGCTTTAGACAATAGACAAGGACTTGTGTTTGCGGCTCAAGTGGCAGCCGCCGCAACACCCAACCACACACACACACACACACACATGAAAGCTGCAGCCGCAGCTTAACAAAAAAAAAAAAAAAAACAACCGAAAAATGTAATGACAAAAATTGTGGAAGTGCTGGAAAATTATGCACACGTTGGCGACGCTTTGCAGCAGCTAACAAGGCACGTCTGGTGGCCAAGCAAATGTTGTCTGAAGTGCACCTACACACACACATTCACTCACACCCGCAAACAGTAGGAAAGGTGCTCAACATTTTAGAGTAATTAAAAAAAAATAGCAGGCAGCCAGGATAAAAAAGGAGCTAAGATGCAACAAAATGAAATACATGAATTTTGCATTCTTCTTCGCTCTTCTAAAAAAAAGAGTTCTTTTTTTCGGTTGCTAAAAATGTTATGTAGATTTATGCTCCGCCTGGTAATTAAGCGTGCCCAGCGCTGCTTCGGCTGGCTGTGGCTGCTGTGGCAGCTGCGGTGGCGCCGAGTGCATGGTGTGTGCCATGAGGCGTATGTGTAATTTTCGGCATCGTTTCATAACCACACAGTTGCCCCCTTCCGCCCCACTAGCCCAACCAGCGTTATTCATATATAATTGCTCGAATTTTACATATCTATACACATACACACTAATGTAGGTGTGTTTGTGTGTGTGTGTGTAAGTATGTCTGTATGTACGACAATAAAGCCCCGTTAAGTATGCTACAATAAATGCACGTTCGCTCAGTGTCAGGCTGGCAGCCTAAAGTGCAATTATCTCATGTATTGTGTCTCGCACATGCTATGCCTACGTTTTTCGTTACTGCTGTTGTTGTTATTGCTGCTACTTTTTTACATGCATTTTTATGTACATACATACAAACACATCAATGCAATGATTTTTTGTGTGTGTGTGTTTTCTTTTTTGGCGTTTGCGCAGTGCTCAATTTTTTTTTTTTTTTTTTTGGTATATAGGCACATTGTAATTATTTTCTGTTCCTCTCAGTAGTATGGATGGTGGCAATTTAAATATTGAAGAGTTAATTTCAGGAACTGAAATATTTCTCAAATATTAAAAGCAATAACTTGTGTTCGAGTTTCTAAATAATCGCTAGACTCTTGAATTAAATATTTCATAAATAAACTGAATTTGATTTTAAAGTCGTAATATTGAAAATTTTTAAGAAATATATGCTAATATATTGCATTTTTTTCTATGAAGAATATCTATTTCAATTTTGCAAAATAGTATTAGAACTCTGTATAAAGAGCAGAATAAATAATGGATATGGTTCGTTTTTACTCTTCTTAAATGCTCTCCATAACAATTTTTTTAAAAGTTTAGTTGTGTGAACAAAAAATTACTTCGATATTTAAGAAAAGGATCTGATATTGAGTGGTGTGCGGGAAAATTAATTTCTTATACGGAAACTATGACAGCTTAGAGATAAGATATATTAGTTTATATATTCAATGAAGCTCACTCATAGAATTTATTTTATTATTAAATTTTTCTTAAGAGTTATATAAAAGGAATTCTATGAAGCAGTAGCAAAAATAGTTCCAATTTTAAACAAATTGCATTCCTATTTTAAAAGCATGGTTTTTCATGACCGTGGATAACAGTCTATGTAATGCCCTTTGTTGATAATTTGATAATTTACATTACAAAAAGTCAAGTACAATAGGGAATTATGTATATATATTCGTGATCAGCAAGGCACGCCAAATCGATCTAAGCATGTAAACAAGTGGAAGCAACACATATCATAAAGAGACTATTACTTTTTAGGGTGTAATAATAATAATTTTTTTTTATTATTTCTCCCATTAGAAAGGGTATGGATTTATAAATAAATGCATTAATAGGAATATGACTTACCTTCCTGACTTTAGATCACCGCTAATCGATGAATTTGGTGACGGTTTGGAACTAAGATCTAATGGTGCATCTGCACTGGGACTGGGTGTATCTTTGAGTGTTGGACTTATTGCGGCGGCAGATACTTCTGAGGTAGTTGGCGTTACCGAGTTAGTATGCTGTTGTTGTTGTTGCTGTTGCTGATGATTGGCCAGCGAGTTGATCAAATTAAAGTCTGCAAAAAACGTACATTATGCTAGTAAGAATTGCCATAATTGTTGTTTCTGTTAATGTTACTACGCACTTGTTTGCAATTCCGATATCTTTTGTATTGCAGCCAACTGTGCGGCCATTGAGTCCATGGATGTCATTGTGGCCGCTTGCTGTGTGAGCAGCTTATAAAGTTCTATAGAAGTTGTTGATGGTGGTGTTGTTGTTGTTGCCGCCGACGTTCCGTTGGCGGTGTGTGCCGTTGTGGCGGGCTTCGTAAGCTTCAGCTTATTATTGTTGTTGTTGCAGTTGCGCGGCGATATGCTCGAGTTGTCACTGTCGCTATCGAGCTGAGGCTAAAAAAGAATATAAAGATATATATGTATATATATTCCATCAAGTATACTCTTTATGTCGAAGTATAGTTCTTTAGAGAAAGGGACTGTGAGAGAAAGAGAAAAGGCCGTACCTGCAGCTGCTTTGAATCCACAGCGGCAATATTGTAGCTGAAGTTGCTGCTGTTATTGTTGTTGGACGTTGTTGTCAGCGCCGTTTCGGCCACCAATTCACCTTTGGCGTTCACCGTTAGCAAACGACCGTTAACACAGAAATTACACTTATCAGACGGTGTCCAATCGTTGGGTTCAGGCGGTGGTGATGGTGTACGTGATGTTGTATTTGTGTTTGTAGCTATATCGTGTGATGTGTGTTTGTTGTCTAAAAAATATGTAAAATAAGCCAAATAAAAATTAGCTTTTTTAGCCAAACAGGAGTGAACTAATAACTTTTGGGAGTAAGCAAGTTGGAGCCCCAAACTATATAGTTTTATCAGGAACTTTAATCATTGTAAGTATTATGTTAACAATTAAAAAATAAAATTTTTTTTGTTTCAATCATTTGCTCATAATATAATGACTATTTTTGACTTTTACTTTACAACTTACGAATAATCTGTAATTTTGAGCAAAAAAAAATACAAGTAGAACGCATAAAATAATGATTGTTCTTTTTTAAATTTTTTTTGTTTATCAAAAATGTACTTTAAGTTGTAATTGCCCCTGCCCATAGGGAATAAGGACAAACTTTATACATATCCTTAAACAATAAACCAAGACGAAACCCCCCATTTTTAGACGAAATTAAATTATACAAATATTTTTTAAAGAGCTTTATTTTTTTGTTCAAAAATAATGATTATTAGTTAAGTTAAAAAGTAAAACTCATAAAATTTTGAGAGAATGAATAAAAAATTAAGTCATGGTGAAAATTTATAGATAATCCTAAAAAAGGATATGGGCATTTGCAAGGAATTTTCCTTGCTTTCTCAAAGTTTTTATAAGTGAATTATTTTTCGTTTCTAAAGGAACACAAATAATCATTATTTGCGGTCCCTGGGTTTTATGGTTATTTCTTCGTATGATTTAGTCGATTATAAACGAGAGCCCATCCATTAATTTATTATTGATTTATTATTTAGTTTTTAGAACGCTTCAATCGACTTTAATAAGCCAACTCATATTATCTGATCACACTAGGTATATTTTACAAGATATTCTCTACTTTCTCAAATAAGGAAAATTATAGTAGAATTTCAAAACAACTTATTAGGTCGTCTTCATTGGGTTGGGTTTACTTTTGAAAACAGCAGCTAAGTCTATTTGTTAATTTGGTTTCTGTTCTCTTCATCCAATGAATACCTACAAAATTTCGAAATGTAATAATTATTTAAATAGCTATTTTAATTGCTGACATTTTAGCAAACTCAGTCATGGACGTTCTACTTAATAAGTTTGAATGCTTTCAGGAAATTTCAATGCAATATAAAATAGCTTTTAATTTTGCAGAAATAGTTTTGCTTTAAAAAAATCATTTAATGGGTAAAATATTTTGAAATATGTGAATAAAATCCCTGACCCCGCAAGCCAGTTTCTATTGTTCTACATAATTTGAAGCATTCAAATAGCTGACCAAAGTGTTCCTGCACTCACCAAAATCGTCTTCAAATTGCGGTTTGTCGTTTGATTGTTGACCGTTTTCCTTTGGCTGCGCTGCGTGCGTTTGTTGTAGACGGTGGTTTGGTGGTTCGTGTTGTTGTTGCTTGCAATTGCTGTTGCTGCTGAATTTGCCTGTCGCTTGAGCTGTATTGGGATCGTCCTGGATGCCTGTTGCAATGGGCTGTTGATCTGCTATATTCAATTGGGTGCGCGTTTGTTGCTCCTGATAGTGTTTCCATATCCTGCGACCCATGAATTCTTCAGCGACGCGTTCTAGACCTAAAAGTGGGCGAACAGGAAAAGTAAACTATAATTACTAAAAAGCTACTATAGTCTACGACACCCTTTTCTTTTTTTTTTATTAAATATTCATAGGCAGAACTGTAGTGCTATTAAAAAATTGTATGGCATTCGATTATCTTAATAAACTATAATTTTCATAGCATATACGTGTACGTGTAGCTGCGTGTAATCGCACGCTTTTTTTTTACAATTCTTTGACTGGAATTTGTAGCATTCTTTATTTCTCTTTCAATCAAGTGCAATGCCTGGGAAATTTTGCACTATGCATAAATTACTTAATTGAAACACTATATGTGTGTTCACAAATATGGGTAGTAAGAAGGGAGAAGGGGCAGAAACAAAGACTACAGAAATGGCACTAGCTGTCAATTTTCTTCCATTCAAATTACAGCGCACACAGTCACACATTGCGTATGCGTATTATAATAACGCATACACAGCATGTATAAATGGTAAATGAAGCGTGTTTATACCTACATGTCTCAGTGTGCGTGTGTTTGATTGCAGTAATAAGGAGCCCCCAAGAACAAAAATTGATAGATTCGCAAGGACTAGTCGTGGTGTGTTTGTTTGCATTTGGAAAATGTGTTTCCTTACATTTGGACAAATGAGTGTGATTCTGATGACGTTTCTCCGTCTAATTGCCACAAAAGTTATGCAATTTAATGTGGCTTGCAACACAAATATAAACACACATACATACATGCTCGAACACATGAAACTGCTGCACTGGCGACGGCGGCATGTGGCACTTGAATTGTCAGGCATGCGTGCCTACAAAAGTAAAATTAAAAAAAAAAAACTTTTGCTTATGTGAAAAAATTACGCGTCAAGTCACACGAAATGCGAATTAAAAATAAGTAAAAAACAACTAGAGGGAGAGTTAAAGATGTTGACGAGAACTGTGGATCCACATACTAGTAGGTGCTCTACGTAATTGGTAATTTCCAATTTAAAAACACAAAACGTTTGAAAATATGTTATAGGTACTGTTTGGGAAAAATATACTCCTAAGAGAATTAAATTATTTGACAGGTTGCTTCCAATGGGTATTATTTACGTTATAACACGTAATAGTTTTACATGTTTTGATGACAATAATAAAACAATAATAAACAATAAGAAAATTTCTTATCATTTTTTTTTTAATTTTTGCTTTTTTTAAGAATTATCTTAAAAGGACAATAGTGGCATCATACAAATTGCAAGATTAAATGAAAAATGAATGCTCTAGTTGACCCGGAATGGAATCTATGATACATTTAAATTTAAACTTCTAACTGCGGAGAATGCGTCCACTAAAAATATTTCTTAATGTATACAACATATAGTTACTCTTGAATGGATTATCGTTCGAATAACATTTTAAAATGTACTTGAAGTTGAAGTCTATTGAAATTAATATTTGGATAGCAATTGAATGTTATAAATATTATTTAAAACAATAGCTGTCGTACCAGTTGGATGAAAAAACCGTGCTTAGGGTTGATACTTGTATTGATTTACATTGGAATGAAAATGCTAAGTTAAAATCAAGTGTAATAGCAATTGAAAATTGTATCAATTCAGAGTAAATAATAAGTGCACATTCCATTCAATGAGGCATTGGCATGTGTGTATTTTAAATAATACTTCACATTGCACCCAAAAAAATTGGAGTATTTTATGCATGTCTTTCGATTTGTGTGTGGAATTTGATTAATTTATTATATTTTTTTGCACATACAAGATGGCGCTTAAAATAACAAGCTGAGAATTCTGCAGTGCCCCTTTAGGGGCATGGCAACAAAGTACGGATTGGGGAAAAGCATCACCCTACCATTACCAGCCAGCCTGGTAGCTAGACCCAAGGCATGTCCTCGGCGTTCTCGTTCCCTTCATGGTCGTGCGCTGATTGCGCCAAAGTGCGTGCGACGTATGTATGGTGCGTGTACATTTGGAAGTTGACGTTCAAGTGGAGCAAAGGCGCCTACCGATGCGTCTACGTCTACCCCACGATGTCGATGGCAGACCCGTTACCCTACGTTGCTCATTCCGGTGCAAAAGTAGAGCGGCATGTTCAAACTTTTTCAGCATAAAAATTGTATTGCAGTTGCAATTGCAGTTGCACTGGCTGTTGATGTTGTTGCTGTTGCCGTTGCGTTTTGGAGCGCTCAAATAAACAGGGTCGCCATCGTCATCGCCATCGCCATCGTTGCATTTTGAGTTAGCGCTTGGGGGTTGTTGCTGCTGACGACGTCGTCGCCATCGTCGTCGCCATCGTCGTCGCCACCGTCATAGTAGTCGTCGCACGCACCAAAAAAGAGGCGCTGAAAAAACGAGGTGAATGCACGCGCAGGACTTACGAAACTCAAACTTTAAAATGCAGTCAGCACACACACATACACGCACACACACACACACACACACACACACAAAGGCATAGACACACTTCTACATTGGTGTGTATATATTTTTGTTATAAAAAACCTTTACGCATATATAAAATGCCAGGGGTTGCTGTTGGGCTGCTTGCCGCCGCTTCTATACAATGCAACGCATGCACGCACGCACAAAATGTCTGCCGCATCAACATCAACATCATCACCATCATCATCGTGTTTATATGCACAAAAAATGTGGCATGTTTGTGTATATGTGTGTGTGTGTGTGCGGTTAAACATACACACCACGCGACACACATTGCGTATGATTATCATTATGTTGGTGGCGATGATGATGATGACGTCGCAACGGCGCGTCGGTGTCCGCTGTAAGCCGTAAGGTGCTGCCTGCTGATGTCGTGGATTTCAATGCTGCGGCGTCGTCGACGTCGTCGTCGTCGTCGTCGACTCAGTGTCTGCAAAGCCTAGCATATTATGCTATGCAAGCGCCTGAATGTATGCTAAATAGATTTTTTTTCTTGCACAGAAGAGTACACGTCGTCAGGTTAGACGTCAATAGGCATATACAAACATATGTCAGCTCTGAAGTCTGTATGTAAGTATGCATGTCTGTATGTATGTGCTCGCTGGTGTTGCATGTGCCGAGCCTAGCAGGCAACATCTACAGTACAAACAATTTAAGTGGCCATTTAAAATATGTATTAGCATTCACGATCTTTGAAGCTTTATTGCATTTATCAGAAAGAAATATTAATATTTTTATGAAACCTGTAAGTGTATTTTTATATTTCTGAATATTTTGAAAACCCAGGTATATACATATGTGGGAAGGAGTGTTGTTCTCTTTGCCTTTTGCTTTCCAAATGCAAGAAGACGAACATACGAGAGAGAGAAGATGACGATCAGCGACAACAGGTAGATATCCAGCGGTCGTAAGAAGGAGGTTGAATTTGACGGACATGTCGATCAAAAGACGAAGAGTTCGGTACTTGGAACTCTGAGCGGGCCCTGCAATTTTGTGTTAAAGTAGTTTAAGCGATGTAAACCAATTTTATTATATTCATTCACATGTTGTTGTTGTAAGAGACAAAAAAGAATCAACCCAGACGAATCTCACTTTTCATATTTAAGTCAAATTTGTATTTATAGTAATTAATATAAATGTAGAAGGAAAATATTAATATTGCCGGAATTGGAGAAGCTCTCAAATTATACATTTTTATATTTTTATTTGGTTCTTTTCTGGTAAGTGCTGTTGATAAAGTTTTGTTTTGGAAGTATTTTTAATATAAGTTATTAGATTCTTAAATGTTGGAAGTAGTTGGAGCATTTCCTAATTGAATCTTCAATAAAAAGAAGATCACTCTCTTATCAACAAATATTCAAGAAGAGATTCTTAGGGGTTATAAATAGTTGGAGAAATGTTATAAGTAGTAGAAAAATTCAACATCTATTTCAAGCATTTTCGAATTGAATATTTAATGAAAAGCAGATCGTTTTCTTATCAATAAATATTCACGAAGAGATTAAGTGTTAGATGTAGTTGGAGAAATGTTATAAGTAGTAAAAAATTTCAGCTTATATTTCAAACATTTCGTAATTGAATCTTCAATAAAAAGCAGATCGCTCTCTTATCAAGAAGAGATTCTTAGGTGTTAGAACTAGTTGGGGAAAAGTTATAAGTAGCACAAAAATTCAACTTATATTTTAAGCATTTTCGAATTGAATCTTCAGTTAAAAGCAGATCGCTCTCTTTTCAATAAATATTCAAGAAGAGGTTTTAGAGGGTATCTAGTTGGACTGGTATTCAAGGCAAAGAAATGCATTGCAAAAGCAACGTGATGTGTCAACGCCGACGCCGTCGTCGTCGTCATCATCGTCGCCGCTACGCTTCTCTGTCTGTCCGTCTGTCGGTTTGTTTGTTTGCTATTACCTATTTGGGGTTCGCGGTCTGCGGTGCAATAAAACCAACTACACATCGGGTTATTGTAGTTGGGAAAGGGCTGGAGATGTGGAGTTGGAAGGGGCTGGTGGTTCAGCAGCAATCAAAACTGAAAGTGCGTTTAATCAAATGCGAAAGGTCGAAGTTGCCTAAGCTGTTGAAATAGGTGAATTAAAGTGAAGCCTAACGCTAGGATCCTTTAATTTTTTTTACCATTATTTTTGCTAGTGTTTTTTTTTTTTGTATCGCTTGGCGAATGTTGTGGAACACCTTAAAGGGGCGTATGATTAATAAAGCAAGCGGCGGGTGTGAAGCATTTATTTTTTACATTATGTACATGCTTGTATATAGGCGGCAGGGCCAAAAAAGCAATTATACACGAAAACACATTTAAAAAAGCGGCACACACACATGCACACACACACACAGGCACAGGCCATGCGCCGAGAGACAAGCAACGCGTGAAAAGTGGCAAAAGAAATGCACGAAAAAAAATGCAATTATCGATTAATGTACACATTATATGGCTTATATATGCATGTGTGTTGATGTGTGTGCATATATGTATATGGTGAGAACGTTTGTAGATAAGCCCTTATATACATATATTTACACTCACACATGCACTTGTATGTATGTTTGTTGGTATA